TTTCGTCGAATTTCTACAACTGCCCACCAGGTGGCGCAAATATATGTCAAGCTTGGTGCCATCTGGCGGCCAGACTAAGAACGTTCAGACCTTGAATTTCCTCTAAGTTGTAGATACATTCAAGGACTATCGAATGGCGGTAACAGGGTTTCTGTATCTTTCTTAGTTTAGGCAGGAGAGACCGTTAAGTTGACCTCTGTATTGACTCGTATGCCTAAAGACCACTAAAGGGGTGTATAGACAAACATTGGTCTCTTAAGAAGCTTCTAGACTCAAAACGACTGAACCGATCTTCAAGTTTCTAGTGTCAGTCGATGCAGAATTAATGTGGCTACAACATGTTAGAACGGCATTTTCGTCGAACTTCTACAACTGCCCACCAGGTGGCGCAAATAAATGTCAACTTTGGCGCCATCTGGCGGCCAGACCAAAAACGTCAAGACCTTGAATTTCCTATGTGTTGTAGATACATTCAAGGTCTATCGAATGGTGGTAGCCGGGTTTCTGTATCTTTCTTAGTTTAGGCAGGAGAGACCGTTAAGTTGACCTCTGCATTGACTCGTATGCCTAAAGACCACTTACGGGGTGTATAGCCAAACATTGGCCTCTTTAGAAGCTTCTAGACTCAAAACGACTGAATTGATCATCAAGTTTCTAGTGTCAGTCGATGCAAAATTGATGTGGCTACAACATGTTAGAAGCGCATTTTCATCGAGCTTCTAGAACTGCCCACCAGAAGCTTCTAGACTCAAAACGACTATGTGCACGCATGCGTACCTATATCTGGAAAAGTCTTTGATGTCGGTCAAAAGGAGCACTATTTTCGTGTTCAGGAAATCAAGGAGCATCATTCCTGTGATTTTGAGCGAAATCGAAAGGGTCCGCCCAACGTGCCATATGCAACATATGCAATTTGAATGTGCACGCATGCGTATATCTGGAAGTCTTTGATGTCGGTCAAAAGTAACACTGTTTTCGTGTTCAGGAGGTCAAGGAGCATCATTCCTGTGATTTTGAGCGAAATCGAAGGGGTCCGCCCAACGTGCCATATGCAACATATGTAATTCGAATGTGCACGCATGCGTATATCTGGAAAAGTCTTTGATGTCGGTCAAAAGGAGCACTATTTTCGTGTTCAGGAGGTCAAGGAGCATCATTCCTGTGATTTTGAACGAAATCGAAGGGGTCCGCCCAACGTGCCATATGCAACATATGCGATTTGAATGTGCACGGATGCGTATATCTGGAAAAGTCTTTGATGTCGGTCAAAAGTAGCACTGTTTTCGTGTTCAGGAGGTCAAGGAGCATCATTCCTGTGATTTTGAACGAAATCGAAGGGGTCCGCCCAACGTGCCATATGCAACATATGCAATTTGAATGTGCACGCATGCGTATATCTGGAAAAGTCTTGATGTCGGTCAAAAGTAGCACTGTTTTCGTGTTCAGGAGGTCAAGGAGCATCATTCCTGTGATTTTGAGCGAAATCGAAGGGGTCCGCCCAACGTGCCATATGCAACATATGCAATTTGAATGTGCACGCATGCGGATATCTGGAAAAGTCTTTGATGTCGGTCAAAAGGAGCACTACTTTCGTGTTCAGGAGGTCAAGGAGCATCAATCCTGTGATTTTGAACGAAATCGAAGGGGTCCGCCCAACGTGCCATATGCAACATATGCAATTTGAATGTGCACGCATGCGTATATCTGGAAAATCTTTGATGTCGGTCAAAAGGAGCACTGTTTTCGTGTTCAGGAGGTTAAGGAGCATCATTCCTGTGATTTTGAACGAAATCGAAGGGGTCCGCCCAAGGTGCCATATGCAACATATGCAATTTGAATGTGCACGGATGCGTATATCTGGAAAAGTCTTTGATGTCGGTCAAAAGGAGCACTATTTTCGTGTTCAGGAGGTCAAGGAGCATCATTCCTGTGATTTTGAACGAAATCGAAGGGGTCCGCCCAAGGTGCCATATGCAACATATGCAATTTGAATGTGCACGCATGCGTATATCTGGAAAAGTCTTTGATGTCGGTCAAAAGTAGCACTATTTTCGTGTTCAGGAGGTCAAGGAGCATCATTCCTGTGATTTTGAACGAAATCGAAGGGGTCCGCCCAACGTGCCATATGCAACATATGCAATTTGAATGTGCACGCATGCGTATATCTGGAAAAGTCTTTGATGTCGGTCAAAAGTAGCACTGTTTTCGTGTTCAGGAGGTCAAGGAGCATCATTCCTGTGATTTTGAACGAAATCGAAGGGGTCCGCCCAACGTGCCATATGCAACATATGCAATTTGAATGTGCACGCATGCGTATATCTGGAAAAGTCTTTGATGTCGGTCAAAAGGAGCACTACTTTCGTGTTCAGGAGGTCAAGGAGCATCATTCCTGTGATTTTGAACGAAATCGAAGGGGTCCGCCCAACGTGCCATATGCAACATATGCAATTTGAATGTGCACGCATGCGTATATCTGGAAAAGTCTTTGATGTCGGTCAAAAGTAGCACTGTTTTCGTGTTCAGGAGGTTAAGGAGCATCATTCCTGTGATTTTGAGCGAAATCGAAGGGGTCTGCCCAACGTGCCATATGCAACATATGCAATTTGAATGTGCACGGATGCGTATATCTGGAAAAGTCTTTGATGTCGGTCAAAAGGAGCACTATTTTCGTGTTCAGGAGGTCAAGGTGCATCATTCCTGTGATTTTGAGCGAAATCGAAGGGGTCTGCCCAACGTGCCATATGCAACATATGCAATTTGAATGTGCACGCATGCGTATATCTGGAAAAGTCTTTGATGTCGGTCAAAAGGAGCACTATTTTCGTGTTCAGGAGGTCAAGGAGCATCATTCCTGTGATTTTGAGCGAAATCGAAGGGGTCCGCCCAACGTGCCATATACAACATATGCAATTTGAATGTACACGCATGCGTATATCTGGAAAAGTCTTTGATGTCGGTCAAAAGTAGCACTGTTTTCGTGTTCAGGAGGTCAAGGAGCATCATTCCTGTGATTTTGAGCGAAATCGAAGGGGTCCGCCCAACGTGCCATATGCAACATATGCAATTTGAATGTGCACGCATGCGTATATCTGGAAAAGTCTTTGATGTCGGTCAAAAGGAGCACTATTTTTGTGTTCAGGAGGTCAAGGAGCATCATTCCTGTGATTTTGAACGAAATCGAAGGGGTCCGCCCAACGTGCCATATGCAACATATGCAATTTGAATGTGCACGCATGCGTATATCTGGAAAAGTCTTTGATGTCGGTCAAAAGTAGCACTGTTTTCGTGTTCAGGAGGTCAAGGAGTATCATTCCTGTGATTTTGAACGAAATCGAAGGGGTCCGCCCAACGTGCCATATGCAACATATGCAATTTGAATGTGCACGCATGCGTATATCTGGAAAAGTCTTTGATGTCGGTCAAAAGTAGCACTGTTTTCGTGTTCAGGAGGTCAAGGAGCATCATTCCTGTGATTTTGAGCGAAATCGAAGGGGTCCGCCCAACGTGCCATATGCAACATATGCAATTTGAATGTGCACGCATGCGTATATCTGGAAAAGTCTTTGATGTCGGTCAAAAGGAGCACTACTTTCGTGTTCAGGAGGTCAAGGAGCATCATTCCTGTGATTTTGAGCGAAATCGAAGGGGTCCGCCCAACGTGCCATATGCAACATATGCAATTTGAATGTGCACGCATGCGTATATCTGGAAAAGTCTTTGCCATGTCGGTCAGAGGGAGCACTATTTTCGTGTTCAGGAGGTCAAGGAGCATCATTCCTGTGATTTTGAACGAAATCGAAGGGGTCCGCCCAACGTGCCATATGCAACATATGCAATTTGAATGTGCACGCATGCGTATATCTGGAAAAGTCTTTGATGTCGGTCAAAAGGAGCACTATTTTCGTGTTCAGGAGGTCAAGGAGCATCATTCCTGTGATTTTGAACGAAATCGAAGGGGTCCGCCCAAGGTGCCATATGCAACATATGCAATTTGAATGTGCACGCATGCGTGTATCTGGAAAAGTCTTTGATGTCGGTCAAAAGTACCACTGTTTTCGTGTTCAGGAGGTCAAGGAGCATCATTCCTGTGATTTTGAGCGAAATCGAAGGGGTCCGCCCAACGTGCCATATGCAACATATGCAATTTGAATGTGCACGCATGCGTATATCTGGAAAAGTCTTTGATGTCGGTCAAAAGGAGCACTACTTTCGTGTTCAGGAGGTCAAGGAGCATCATTCCTGTGATTTTAAACGAAATCGAAGGGGTCCGCCCAACGTGCCATATGCAACATATGCAATTTGAATGTGCACGCATGCGTATATCTGGAAAAGTCTTTGATGTCGGTCAAAAGGAGCACTATTTTCGTGTTCAGGAGGTCAAGGAGCATCATTCCTGTGACTTTGAACGAAATCGGAGGGGTCCGGCAAGTTCACTTTAGGACGAGAAATCTGAATATCACTTGTATTTGCCTCTTTTCTTTGCTCAATAGGTTTATCGACTGTTTTTCGCCCTTTGGTCTAACAATGCCTCTGGTGCTTAAGTATATTGTTATTGCAGTATGTATAGCTAATGTCCTTCATAAATACGAAGCTGTCACGTGTAAAACGACTCCAAAAAGTGAGAAAAATTGCATGACCTTGAACGACCTTGAACTTTAGAGACTTCTCCTGAGAAAACTATGCGACCACGTTTGATGCAAGTTAGTTTTTTGTAAAGAACTACTGAGTCTTAATTATTTCTGAAATTTTCTTGAAATTTGATGAGGTCCGATTTTTCCGGGAAGTTTACTAACCAGAATATTGTACTAGTAAAACAAACTTGAATAACTTGGAAAATACTTAATGTCGGTAAATCAAAAGATGATTTTTGCACTTAGGTGCTCATGGTCTATCTGCTGTGCGATTTTCAGCCAAATCGAAGGGGTCCGCGAATGTGCACGCGAATCTGAATGTGAATATGATGCAACTATATGCACGTTGTGCTCAACTCAAACTTGAACTGCATAATCCTGTTTTAAGGCGATAACAATAAATACCGATAAAGCACGGTGCGGCCAAGGCAGTATATTGATATGTGCGGCAGTATATATGATATGTGCGGTCCGCCCCGGGACATTCAGTAATCAGTTGTGGTTTAACTGATTTCTTTTTTGGTTAATAAAATAATTTATATAATTTTGGCATTTAATTGAACATTTTCACATCACTTTTGACCATAAATACACCACATTTGGTGGATCCAGAAAGCTTGTAGATGATGGGTGGGTTCTTAAAAGCTGTTACCTACCTAGCAAGGTTTCTGGAAAAGTTGTTGAATTTAAAAAAAACAAGCTTTGAGTACTGAGTAATTTTGACATCCATGGGTGCATATGCCTCAGCCCTCAAGTCCTCTTTGGCGGACCAGTGATCTGCGCGCAGGACAAGAATTGAAGGGACTAACTGTTTCTGTATGTCTGTCTGTCTGTCTCTGTCTCTGTCTCATGTTTTGATTAAATGCAACTTGATATTGGCATTATTCCAGATTCTCAGAGCAAGAATGGTATGATGGAGCACAGTAATTCAGTGCAAGTTGAGTGTCAGCCAATAACTTCCTTGGAAGACCTATTGGCATGGAATGAAGAGAAGACACTGCATCAACCTGTCCAAATCACTAGGACACCTCTGGCACAGTTTGATTGTGATGGAAGACCATTGGCTGGTTGTGAGCAGCCAAAGCTTCTTGTCTGCCATGATATGAAGGGTGGTTATCTGGATGACAGGTATAACAACCATTTTTGCATATCATCTGAATTCATTGTTTGCCTGATCAGCTATGAATCATCCATATTTTGCCCCATTTTACATAACTTGGTTATCAATCACAAACTTGAATGCTGCTAAGTGCTAATGATAACAAGAGCGCATTCTGATTTGCTGACTAAATAAGAGTGCTTTTTGATAAATTTATTTTTAGCTATGAGCCATGTTTTTTTTTGTGTGGCATGTCTGAGGACAATACCTAGGCATAATATGCCCTTGGTTTGTTTGTAGGTGGTATGGTGGTCACAATGATCCATCAGCATACACATTTTACCACTGGTCTCTGGTGGATGAGTTTGTCTACTTCAGCCATGAGCTGGTGACAGTGCCACCCTGTGCCTGGGTGGATGCTGCCCATATTCATGGTGTCGCTATATATGGTGAGATGGGGAACCACACTGATTGACAGGTTCTTGGGTAGGCTAGCAATATTTACACCAGGATTGAAAATGCTCTATATTTTTACATTACCAAATGTCATTTTGTTTTAACCGTGGTTTGTTTCTCATTTAGGTCATAACTTACCCATATAATCTAGCCATCGTGCATGCTGTGTATTCTAACAGCTGCACATATTTTGGCATTGTGTTGTGTGATGTTCATTGCGGTCGCCATACATCGTCACTTGTTCCCGCATCCCCAGGCACGCTGATGACCGAGTTTGACGCCGGCGCGGCCATCTGCCGCCGCCTGCTGCGCTCTGAGGAGACGGTGGACGCCGTCGTCGACCGGCTGGTGGCCGTCAGCCGACACCACGGCCTCGACGGCTGGCTGCTCAACATCGAGAACCCGATCGACACGCAGCAGGTGCGACTGCACGGCTACCCGACTGCGGGAGGGCTGCTCGGCGTTCACGGTGTGGCTCCGAATGCAGCTGAGATTCGTTGCTGCTGTGCTGAATCGTGGTTTGTCTGTCCCGCGCTGCTGCCGTGTCCTCACTGAGCGCTGGGTCTGTGGTGTCTCTCCAGCTGCCGACCCTATCATACCTGGTGCGCCGTCTCACCGAGAGGATGCACGAGGCGGTGCCTCACTCGCGTGTCATCTGGTACGACTCTGTGACCCGTGACGGCGAGCTACGCTGGCAGGACCAGCTCAATGAGCTCAATGAGTGAGTGGCTTAACTGTCCCCCTGTCCGCTGCAGTTTAAGATGTTAATAGTTTTATGGTTAAAATTGCTGATTGCGGATTTCTACGATTTCAGCTGTTGTTGGTATCTTCTGCATCTGTGGTAAGTATTAGCTGACCGGACTTTGCATGTCTGCGTTCTGACAGGTGTTTCTTCCGGCTGTGTGACGGCATCTTCCTCAACTACTGCTGGACTCCTGCCGGTCTGGCGACGTCCCAGCGACGCGCCGGGCCGCGCCGGCGGGACGTGTACGTCGGAGTGGACGTGTTTGGCCGCGGCTGCCCGGGCGGGGGCGGCTTCAACTCGGTCCAGGTGCGCCACAGCTCCCTGGGAGGGTCACCTGCGGCCTCCCTGTGACTCAACGTACGGTATAGAGCCAGCAGCGAGGCGATGCGTTCTCTGCGTTGGCTGTTGGCTCATGAACGAACCACCGTTGATGTGAGCTGAGTAGTTGGTGTTCTTTAATTGTTAGTTTGTAAAGCTCACCAATGTCGTGTTACAATTGTTAATTGTATGCCGGTGTTCCCCATTTGCCGTCAGCCGGTGGCCGAGGCGCGCTGGCTGGGTCTCTCTGCTGCCCTGTTCGCCCCCGGCTGGACCCACGAGCGGCTGGGTGCGGAGCGGTTCGCTGCCGCCGAGGACGCGCTGTGGGACCGGCTGGCGCCGCTGCTGCCCGTCTCCGGGCCGGCCCGGCTGCCCCTGGTCACCTCCTTCTGCCAGGGCCGCGGACTCAGGCGCTACAGCCACGGACAGGTGGGCAGCCGCGGGCACCGGACTACTGGGGCTGGGGCAGGCCGAATGGGCCGCCGACACAGACGCTTCTCTAGTGGAAAGGATACATACACTATATACACTCTATACACTAACGGGACTCGGCGGGCCGTCCGGACCACGGTCTGAGAGACTTTACCAATTGCAAGGTTGGCATCGTACTAGTTAAGGCTGGGGCAGGACGTCACTGCCGCGGTATGAAGTGCGTCTGCTGCCTACGTATATCCCGTCCTGATTCACACCGCCCCTGACATTTTCTCTAACTCCTTGCCTCCATCGATCGACAGGTGACGGACGAGTCCCCGTGGCACCGGCTGTCGTGTCAGCAGCGGCAGCCGAGCCACCTCCAGGGTAGCCGGCCGGCCGACCTGCCCCTGACAGACGCCGACGGCCGGCCGGTGCCCGCCGCCTTCCAGCTGAGCTGCCCGGCCGCCCTCGGAGCGGCGGAGGACGGCGAGAGGTGGGTTACTGGACACAAGAGACTGCGGAGTTGTCTGGTAGTGGGCTCGGCAAGACTGAGCCACTGCTAAGGTAGAGACTCGGGCATACTGTGAGACTACACAGTGTCCCAGTGTAAAGACACTGACTCACTGCAGGACGGTGACGGTCGACAGGTGGACAGCCTTACCGATGTCTCTGTGGTACCTTTGTCACTAGCGAGAAAGACCTTTCCTTACCGACCGCCTCTGACCCAGTCTGCACCTCTCTGCCCCGTCAGAACGGAGAAGTGGCGGGCCGAGCGGCGGAGGATCGAGGCTGTGTGTGCCGCCGGCGAGAGCCCGCTCCAGCCCGGCTGGCTGGCTCACCACACCCTGGAGGACGCGTTCGACGGCGGCGGCTGCCTGGCGCTGGCCAACCGCTCCGGCCGACGGGCCGTGTACAGGTGAGGGATCGGAGTACAGACGGATACTGACCACAGCTGACCGAGCCCGGGCCGGCTGAGTGGAGCTGATCGTAGCTAGAGGGCCCGACTCTGATCTGTTAATGTACATTTTAACCAGGGCTGCGGAGTCGGAGTCGGAGTCGGAGTCGGAGTCGGTCGGAGTCGACAGTTGTGACCGGAGTCGGAGTCGGAGTCGGAGTCGATTTTAGAAACCCGAGCCGGAGTCGGAGTCACCGAAAATCTGTCGACTCCGCAGCCCTGCTAGGTCTGCGGAGTCGGAGTCGGGAGTTGGAGTCGGTCGGAGTCGACAATTCTGCCCGGAGTCGGAGTCGGAGTCGGAGCTGGTTTTTGAAAGCCGGAGTCGGAGTCGGAGTCGGAGTCGCCGAAAATCCATCGACTCCGCAGCCCTGATTTTAACATTTGGTATTTGAACGCATCGGCTGATCAAAACTCACGGTTGTTTTAACGGACATTGCCCCATAGCTTAAGCATTTTTGTTTCGTAAAAAACCGTCAGTGTGATTCGAGGTTGTGCTTTTTAGATTTTCACTGATAATTCCCCATGCGGACCTGACTCTGTGCTTACTTTCAGGCTGTTCAGCTGTAATCTGTCGCCTGAGGTGGGCGCCGGAGGGTCATCGCTGGCCGTTCTGTACGCGCTGAAACCCACCGGCGGTACGACAGCGGACGACTGCGCTCTGTGCGCCGACCTCGCCGTCCCGGCAGACGGTGACACCGTCAGGTGAGCGCTAGTCACCGGCTGTACCTTTTGCGCGCTGACCTTGCCGACCCAGCAGACAGGTGAGCGCTTACCGCTGGCAGTCACCGGCTGGGCTCTGTGCGCCGGCCTCGCCATCCCGGCAGACGGTGACACCGTCAGGTGAGGGCGGACTGGGCTGATTTGTGGGTTGGACCAACTAAGGACTTAAGGCTGGCGGACTAAAGCGGGCTTATTTCTCCCGTATTAAAATGGTCATTTAAAAAGATCGCAAAAGTTCAAAACTCCGCGTATGTTAATTCGTGATCCTTCTTGGTTACCTTAGGGCTTAAGTTACTGAACAACTGGTACCAAATCACTGATCATCCCCTCTGTATCCCCGACAGCCGCGTGATGCTGGCTTCGGCCGCCGCTGCCGCCGAGTACAGCTGGAAGGCCAGTGTGGAGTCGGACACCGACTCGGTCTTCTGCCTGACGCCGCTGTCCGCCGACCGGCTGCGGGGCGCGCCGCCGGCCGCCGCTCCGCCCGGCCCGGCCCAGGGCGGCTGGATCACCCGGTACGGACGACTGGACGGCACGACTCCAACCTCTTTGATGCTCAAGCATACTTGTTTAGTATTCGTCTGGATATTTATTGCACTGGAGCGTCGTTCCGGTAGCACTTGTGGATCAGCTGCCTTAGCATGGATTGTACTGACCTCCCTCCTGTCCCGCAGGCTGTACTAACCCGCCCCCCTCTGACCGCAGACTGTACCGACTGAAGGGTCCGTCCGCCGGTCGGCCGCCGCGCCTCCGCTCGATCGGAGTGTCCCTGCCGTCCGGCGGTTCGGCGCTGCTGGGCTACCTGGCCGTGCACGCCTGGCCAGGGTCGGAGACAGAGGGGTAGCCGCCGGCAGGACGTCAGGTCAGACCGGCATACTTCTCTGTGGGATACCGCATCAGCCGCCAGCTCTGTGATAATTACAGCTTCATCATAATATTAATTTGTACAGTGTGCAATGACTTATAATGGGATGCCTAATTTTTAATATGTTAATAAGTCATTAATATATGTGCGTAACATTGTTCCCTAAAGTGTCGAGAGACGTGATATAATTCTATGATATTGATTTTTTCGTAAAACAATGTCCACCACCTTTGCAACGGGATGCATACGTTTATCTTATGTGGTGATCCGTATAAATGTTGCAAGCACGCTAGTTTGCAGCGACGACCCCCTGATCCTTGACAGAAGTTAAAAGACTACTGCAATCATATGTGATATGTTCATTAGTCATCATCTTGTCAACGCCCCTGGACAAAGAAACAATATATTCACATGTTGACAGATATTGATATTGGGCGTAGCTGACAGCATTCTTCGGAGACCGTAGCTACGTGATGCCGCGAACCTTACATCCTGGCATTGTATCGTTTTGGACGGCTGTGGACAGAGCTCTGCTGCAGCATTGACAGTATTAGTTGTATATTCGCAACAAACATTGTATAATAATGCGTAATGGCATGTGCGATCAATAATTGCTTTACCGAATGTATACCGACAGCCAAGAATTCAATGCCAACTTGCAGGCGCAACGACGCAACTGCAGATACGTGTGGCACATGCTGCTGCACAACATCTCACTTGTTCGGTGTGTAGAGTTTGCATATGTATATCACGTATCCCACATTTCACACGATAGGGCATCACTCGTCTGACATCACATTTGACATTGGCTGATATTTCACATAGAACATGAATCTCTGCACTCACAGTATATTAGCACCACAATGGACGGAATAATGCACTCGAACCCGCCACAGCACTCCGCCTTCCCCTCAGCTGTCGACCGGCTGGCGCCATGGCTCACATGAGCACGCAGCCTTTCTCTGTGTCCGCCTTGTCGGTGCTCTGCTCGCCACCATCGTCCTCTCCTTGTTTTATCTTTTCGGACATGATCTGCGCCTGGAGCCGTTTCTGGTTCTCCAGTTCGGCGCGCAGTTTCTCTATCTCGTCGTTGAGCATCTGTTCGCGCTCGTGGTTGCGGCGATCTTTGCTCGGCGGTCGGTAGGACGGGCTGCCGGGTTTGGCGGCGGCGGCGGCTGCGCGGCCCTGCTGCGGACTCGTGCTCACTGCGAACGGAGAGGTGACGGGCGCCTGTAGCGGCGCGGGGGCCGGCGGCGGGGGCGGCGGGGAGGGCCGCTGCCGCTCGGGAGAGCCGCCACCGCCGGCCGGCCACGGCACCTCTGTGGCGTCCAGCTCGTCCCGCAGCCAGTCTGGCACGGCCGCCGTGGCGTCTGGGTCGTCGTGCGGCCGGCGCGCGCTGGCCGGCCGGTCGGCCGCGCCGCCGGCCCGCTGGCCGGAGTCAGGCCGGCGCGGCGGCGGGCTGCTGTCGGGCGAGCCCGAGCCGCCGGCCGGCGCCGGCAGACGCGGCAGCGGACACGTCGTGTCCACCACCACGAACACGTTCTGACTCTGCGCGTGCAGACTGCCCAGACTGAGCGTCTCGCCCTTGGCAATCTGCGCCTGCGAGGCGTACAGGGCGAGCACCTCGCGCGGCTGCAGCTGCACCTCGCGCTGCGTGTCGGCCTCCTGCTCGGACTCGCCGGCGGCGGCGGAGGCGGCGGCGCGCGCCGAGCCGCCGGCCGCCGCCGCCGCCGGCTGCTCGCTGCCCGGCCGGCTGACAGCGCCGCCGGCCGCCTGGCTGACGCGCCGCGTGCCCCACAGGTAGAGCACGTTGTCGATGGTGCCCACCACGGTGAAGGTGCTGCCGCACTGCACCATCGTCACCGTCTTGTCCATCATGCTGCGCACCAGGTTGGGCTGTCCGGCGGCGCGGCCGCGCGTGTGGCCCAGCTGTCCCTCTGAGCTGCGCCCGAACGACACCAGGTGGCCGTTCTCGGTCAGCGCCACCGTGTGGTGCGGCCCCATGCTGACGTCGATGATCTTGGAGGTGACTGACTTGACGGGCGTGGGCAGGAGTGCCTTCTCGACCTCTGCGCCGCGGCCCATGGACTGCATCAGGCCGCGCCTGGCGTTGAGGCCGAGCTTGTTGCGCTCGTTGCTGCCGCAGGCCAGCAGGGTGCCCTGCTGGGTGATGAAGATGGTGCCGTCGCCGCCGCAGCGCACGTTCTCCACCACCTGGTCGTCGGGGATGGTGACCTCCTGCGGCAGGCTGCAGTCCTCCTCGTGGCCGAGCCCCAGCTGGCCGCCCTGGCCCTGGCCCCAGCTGTACACCTCGCCGCCGCCGCCGACCACCACCACGTGGCGGCGGCCGCACGCGATCGCCGCCACGTCCACCGTCAGCAGCGACTCGACCAGCTTGGGCGTGTTGATGTTGTTCCAGTTGCCGTGACCGAGGCAGCCGTACGTGCCGTCCCCGCACGTCATCACGATGCCATTGTCGCTGGCGAACACGCTGAACCCTGTCGGCGGGACGCGCGGATCGCGGTTAGACACGGCACTTCAGACTGGTCTGCAATATGCCCACAACTGATTTCTTGGCCGGGATGTCCGATACATCTCAAACCTGCACCCCGTGATAAGAATGGGTTTACCGGCCGAACAAAGCATGACACATTGAAACCGTGCACTGCAAAAGAACCTCTAATGCTCTTTATATTTAATCAGATTTCCTGGTCAATACTGCACTGGTCATCCCCTACCCCT